ACATATATCTGTGCCCAAACCCAATTGATCTCCGTTATAAACTGTCCGTGTATCACCGTTCTCTCATCAGTAGCTGTTATCAGATATTTATTTTGACTATTCTCTTATTACTGATCTCTTATCAATTGTATCTTATCGACAGCCATTATCAGCTGTCACATTGTCACTATCGGAAAATCGTGACCGAGAGCCTATGACTTCTAGAGGTTGGTTGCTACCGAATTTTGCCATCTCCCACTAAATCCTACCCTCGATGAGATTTCACCCGAAAGCCTACAAAGCCACTGGTGGAGCCGGAAAATGCTAGTTACTTCTTCATTTAATAGTTAAACGGATGAGATAACAGTTTAAAAATAAAAATAATTAAAAAAAGGTCATTATCGTGCCGGGCGGACGATTATAATGATTTAGATGTCGTTGTCTAAACGGCACCCGGCTACTGTAAACCGAGTCCGGGGGAAAAAATACATATGGAAGAAGAGATAATGGTTTTGTGGCCGGAAAGACCTTCATTATCGGTTCTGTGCGGATTGTGTTTTATTATATAGTCCAATTAAGGCCCGAAAAAGGGATGCGCACAAGGAACGCCCAACGTCGACAAATTTGCCATTCACATTGTCCATATAACGGCATCCCCGGGGAAGTTGGGATCGTTTATAATAAAAAATAAAGGTTCATGATAAAAAAAAATAAAACCAGCATAATATAACGCCTTGTCCTAAGTAAAAGCGTTTTCGCAAGTTTCCAAGTTGAAGATTGTTCGGTGTGTATATGTACAAATGAATAGTAATTGATAATAATATTACAAAACTGTACATTATTATTTCAGTACATTCTTAAAAATGGATCCAAATGATGTAATTCTTTATGAAAATTTGATTGCTAAAATATTTCTAAGAAATAGAATATTTCTAAAATAAAATATTTCTAAGAATGAGAAAGAAAAAAGACAAATGACAAATTGATTTTCATATCATTTTATATATATCTGAAGACATATTGTAAGTTAAGAGAGAATCCACACTTCATACAGATACATCAATACATGAATATGTCCTGCAATCTAGTATCTCTGATCTATTATCTCTATTAATTCACCTCCATAAACTCAACTTAAGCAACATCCGAAAAACATTTTTAAATATAGGTACAAGAATGAGTATTAAAACATACCTACAACATATTTTTGAGAACCAATTCCTCGTCACAAGTTGTCAATCCAGAACTAGGTGGACTATTTTTAATTAATTATAAGATATTAGTACAGTGAACTATAAACCATTTATAATGTGTGTTAACAAAGTTTTTTAATTAGGTTTATAAGTTTTTAAAAATAATTACAGGGAATACGTGAATGTTATTAACAAGTGAATAACATTCATACAATATACAATTATACTTACTTGGCATTTCACAGCAGAAGAGAGAGAGTGTAATAGAATAGAGGACTTATCTGGGTATTTTTTTACTAACAGCAACGTCTAATAATAATATATACATTTTTTGTAAAAGTGGACTGATTGAACGTTATTCAATTTTTTCGTTTTAAAAATTGACACTGGTATGTTTAAGATTTAATTCGAAAGAAAATTCCGCATAAATAAACGGATGTAATAAAAGTAAGGGAAAGAGGAGACATATTGTCGCTAACAAGATATATTATGCGACATGTCAAGTCATTACTTTACCTGTACAACTGTTTTTAAACCTGTTTACAAATGTAATGGATTTTTATTATATTTTTTTTTTGTCGAACATGTAGTTTTTTTTTTAATAATATACTAGCTTATTTTTGTAAAGCATAGAATTAAACATTAATTAGACTACATTAGCGCAGTTTGGGCCACTTCAAACAAAACAAATCTCAAGATGGTTTGAAACCTAGTAATTATAATAGTTTTAATGTGACGCAAACAGAAGGACTGAATTCAGTGTGACCGATTAGAATAAAAAAAAATACCGTTCAACACACCGCGGTGATAAGATATGAATGATAACAGATCTTGAAAAGAAAACAATAATATTTTAAGATAATTGGCCTATTTTATCATATAGCCAGTACCAACTGCTCAACAATGAAGACTTCGGTTTTCTTTTGTGTGGTCACACTGGTTTTAGTCCTTTTGTTTACTTCACCGTCGCATACAAGCTGTGGCCTGTGGTATATTATTACGGCTGGTACGTCTCTTAATACTGTTAATTCTAAGTGTCTGACTTTACCCGAGTAAAATATTTTTGATGAAAATGTAAAAATAAAACACAACGCCAAAAAGATAAATTGCTTTTGGATTTGTTGAAATCCGAGAGATCCAAAAGCAATAAGATACATAGTAAACAGATATAACATAAACGTAAAAACCAGTGCTACCAACCCTAACAAAATACCTTTTCAGAACCGTACCGTGGCCAAAACAATTTACTTGGAAAAACCCAAAAGGAAACTCACTATACACAGCTGTGTCTTTTCACTTGTGCAATACATTGCTGGAATTGAATTTTCTGTTCGGTTCGGTTGTGATGTCGTTATTAAGAACGGCCAAACGCGGTTTGAAGCAAATGGCACGAAACGTTTGTAAACTGTTTTTGGCGGAAAAAACCCAAGTTTCTTTTCAGTGGCCAAGCACACACAAAAAAAACAAAACCCTATCGGTCCATCCCCTTTGTGTAATTTCTGTAGCCGAGAAGGCGTTGTATTTACAATGATGTGTTTTTATTTTTGTGTCTGTACCCACACGATATCTTCTAAGCCACTGAACCGATTCCTTCGTCGTCGCTAAGCGGCTCTTAAGATCAGAAATCCAATCTGTAAGGGTTACTTTGTTAGACTAAAAACTTGGAAAAGTTCATCCCTTCCCTTTGTGAAATGATATGAAATATTATGCTCAACCAACAACAGCCATTTACACAAGGGCACACAGCGCTATTCTGATAATATATTGTACATAAAACGTGACTCTTGTGTACAATAAAAATAACAATAATAATGATAGTATGGTATTCTTTGAGTTTCCCTTGGAGGTTCTCTATATGTAATAATAATATGTACTTACAATAAAGGCGTTTTCATAAGGTTTCGGCAACGGTAAGCGGGTCCGTGTGTTGTGTGGCTTCGTGTGGGATCAATGATCGTTTTGCAGCAGCAGCAGCAGCCCAAAGGGCATTTTAGAAAGATTGTTCTGTTCTAGATTGTATGGATCACTAAAAAGAGTCAGAAATGAGTAAGTTTATACATGTTCCTGACAAGTTTACACGTTGCTTTGTCTTGAGAAAACCGTTGATTAGGTACTTATTATAACTGCCAACCACCGAAATTGAGTAAAAATCATTGATTGACCTCTATTCAATGGTTAAACGTGGGAAATATTACATTAAATATTATTCACTGATGATGATTGTATGGAATAGATTGGTAGCCGTTGTTCTCGTTTTATATAAAATTTTTTTGTGTGTCTATTATATTATTCATGTTAAAATTTTTTGAACAATATATTCCCCAGTAATGTGAATACCAAGTTCCACGTGATGGTCAGCGTTGAGTGTATTATTATGTGTTATAATATGTTACTATAATGGTAATAATTATGTGTAGAACAGAAACACATCGTCGGGTATTAGTAATTATATATACTATACTCATACATCATGTAAGTGTGTACAATATTATGTACAATAATATTCTGATAACTCTTGGCCCACGATGGACCGTAGCACCAAAGATTATGAGGGTTATCGACACTGGCTTGTGTGCACACATCTCTACACAAATCTGGGCAACATTATTATTATAATATAATATAACATGATCCATTAGCATAACAATCCAGTTGAATTCGTTTCTAAATCATGACAGCGCCACTCTCTGTATTTAATACACTCTATACAGTGTGATTGAAATACTTACTTTTGTTAAAAGCATGCGGTTTATAGTATATTATGCATTGAAGGTGGTGATGAGTATTACAAATATAATGATTGTAATACAATTAGGAACGTGTAAATTAATTCAGTTAAGAAGCTTTAGACAGCCTATCGAGATACTAAGTGGCTTATACTTGCATTAAACTAGCATAATTGATTTACCGTCTCCGTTTTAGAGAATTTAAATTTAACCTCGTTTAAAAAACAAAAATTGTCATTCAACACATTTACATCCGTTTCCATGTTGATTTATTTCTGATAATCCTTTTTTTTTGCAAAAGTGTAAATATTCTAAGTAGAGACGGTGAAGTTAGATTTGAACATGTCATTATGAACATAAAACAAACTATATTGTATGGACTATATTTCTAAAAATACCTAACTGCTTTGGGGAGGAGGGACTTTGTTATATATATTTTTCAAAAATCATCTACTGATCTACAAATAAAGTGTTAAGAATCAATCGGTACCGATTTTTCAAAAACGAGTTCTATTTCATATTAGGCGCTTTTATGTCTAAAATACATCTAATGTGGTGTTTCCTCATTAAAAAAAATAATTTTAAGTTAAAAATAATACCTTGAAGCTTATGTAACTAAATCGGCACGGTCGAAATGTATTAAAACTGCTTTTTGCTCAAATATTGCCTAAATGAAACTCCTTAAAACGGTGTGTAAAACAAGCCGTGCAAATTAGACACGTCAAAAGGCATCTGCCGATCGATAGGATTTCATTTCTGGAGCTTCTCGTCCGACCTTTGCCAGGACCGGGCAAAAACTTTTTGCCTTTTCGTGGGGGCGGATGTGTAAATTTAGAATATTGCAAACACACGGTCAGCGTTAATACGGCTTAAGGAATAACCGTCAGAGTTATGTAATACATCCGCCGGGCAACAGAAACTATATCCTAATAGTTGTGATATACTAACCAGGGGCAAACCCGACCCGTCCCGGAAGGGTTTCCCCGATGGCATTGGGGTGGGATTTTTTTTTTTTAAGTTTAATTTAATAAAATATATTATTCGAACCCTGCGAGGAGGGCGTGTGTCTGTGCGTGGTATAAATTAACCGGCTTAAAACGCGGAAACCATAATACTATACCTGCTTCTGTTGTAAGAGTATTGTCATTGCCACAGTCCAATCGTCGGGTCGTCAAACCGGGAAAAAATGGTCGTCAATTTTAGCGTTTTCAAAAAATCCTCTCCCGACGGCAAATTGATCTTGTACCTCTGCCAACGCGACATCATCGATCACATATCGTTCATCGATCCGGTCGGTACGTACTTGGGCGCACATTGAAAAAAAAAAAACATTGTAATTATTATTATTAAACCCGATGAGACGTTGAGCGGTTCACGATAAAAATATGATCACCCTGTGTATTGTTATCTTCTTACACCCACTGGCACAGCCCAAAAGGCAAAAGATGACCAACACAACAATTCCACACTATGTGTTTTTCCACATCCATTACCTCCTTACTAAGTGGCCAAGACCGTGACCGTGATTAGCTTGACTTTTAGAAATCCAGCTCCTTCACATGTAGATATCCTAGTGTACTATTGTAACTTAACCTTCTCAGGGATGCAATGTGTCTCAGATTTAACTTAATTTACATTGTCACTTGTTTAAGTATTTATTTGTAGGATCTGCGATACTCGTGATAATTCATAGTTACAATAATATTAGTACTACACCTTTGACATTATTTTCATTAAGTTAATGTAAAACATATTTGAGTTGTGTTGTTTTTGCAAAGAATAATTTATATATTATACAAAAATTAGTTAAAAAATTTAGTTATTAATAATGCTACTAAACAGACAACCAATGGTTTATCTGAATGATTTGTCGTAGAATGTAGTTTTCGCATAAAACATTTTATATCTACATTGGTATTAACTTTGACAAAGTCATTTTTTTTTAAGAACAAATGACTTATGTTGCTTTTGAAATGACCTGTTCAAATATTATATAATATATTAGACATAGTCAATAGAATATTGTATAAATTCTCACTCTACTGCCCACTTTGCTTGTTTTAACTTACTTCCAAAAAATTCGACGACTTGCACTTGATTGTCATAATCTATTTGAAAGTGTATGACTTCATTGTGGCCAAAGACTAGAATTTTAGTTTTACCTTTTATTTACTTTGGTTTATCAAAAACTTGTGTCAGATTTGTGCAACGACTTTCCAAAAGACATGTTAATGATCCCAATGTCTTTACCATTAGGAAGACTTCTTCCCCTTTTTTTTTTATATATTTATCCTCTTGTTTTCTGAATCTCTGGTTGGATGAAAACTTGCTGGGCTTTTATAAGTTTCCCGGTAAAGTTTGTTGCCTGGTAAGTTAAGTTGTTCTTTCTTTGTTTAGTTTTTGGATGATGAATGTAGTTTTTTCACTTATCATAAGTCGAAACTAACGTACGAAATAAGAACAGTTGGAAATCAAAATCAAACTTTCGCCGCTTGTATGCTTTTCAGCAAAACTTTGTTAACTTCCCGACCTGTAGTTATTTTCACCAAAGTATGGCACCGTCGATTAAAATACAAATATTAACACATACGTTTATGCGCTTATTCGTATCCAGACAGTACAACTTATAATTTTGCATAAATGTCACTCGATTTTATGAGTTTTTGCCCAGTGACCAAAAATGCATAGTGGTAATATTAGATGAGAGTAGATATTGAATACCAAATGCTTTAATTTTTGAACATTACTAAAAAAAATTGTAAAATTCTGACTATAACAATATTTATAGTTTTAAAAGATAATTAACTATCATTTATCCATAAAATACATACTTTCCCCGTTACTTACAGTCAATGAGCATAATATTATATCAACGGTTCCAATACCAGTCTATTCTATTATTTATAGGCATAAATAACAGGAAATACATTTTGTTAATAAACGACAGATATTAATAATAATAATAACGAACTCATTTTTTCTCTTTATCGGCGATATGTTCATTTTGAAAGATTTTTAACAATCGAAACGTTAAAAGAGAGTAAAATAAAATTTCAAATAACAACAAAATAAATAATATTATCACTTATCAGTTATCACATTTCGTGATAACCAATGAGAACGTCGGAATCAAGGTAACCGCTTTGGTAACCCAACTAACATTTTGTTAACTTAACAAATAGAATTCCATGGTAATAATGTTACGGTGAAACTTACCTAATATAACCAGATGTTAAATTTAAATGAATTGTTAACTAACATTGTGTGTATTTAATAATAGTTGGTGAAACCGGATAATAATGTTTATTATTTTGCTAACGCCCGACCCTGAACTTGGTTACATATCGTTGTAATAGTTTATAACACATTTATCAACTCTTACAAGATGCATTGATGCACTATATTTTGCTAACTAAAATATACCTACATTATTCCAGAAAGATTTATTTCCGTTGCAGATGGCATAGTGGTGTTGGACAACTCTCTGTTGAAACAAGGCAAGGTTTTCGGACAAATCGTGTGCAGCTTCCGGTACGGCCGCAAAGATGACGAGATGATGGGCTTGTGTTTCCAAAAAGACATGTACTTGGCCTCGGCTCAAATTTACCCTCCACTCGAAGGAAACAATTCAGTTAAACTCTCTAAAATCCAGGTATCACATGACCGAACCATTTCAGCCCATTCTCTCTCATTTTCCTCACAATCGATGCAACCCCTAGACTACTCCCTCTTATGTATTAAATTCTTATTCTATCCTATCTAGTCACTCCACTCATCCGTCTTGGCATTCTCATCTCCGCTAGGTTCCAAAGTAGTAGCTGTTTTAGTTGTGATGATGCAATTTGGTCGTTATTCTCTGGACCGCATTTGCATAGGGGTGAGGGGGCAAGTATCCCGGGTGGCAAATACCACCCACTGTGTGGTTATTACTCTGTACATGTCGCAGGAATGTTTGTTGTCGAAGATGGGCAATAACGCGGTGCCGTTCAGCTTTCAAATCCCCGACAACGCCCCGGCTTCGGTTATACTCCAAGACTTGACAACCACGGACAAGGCCGACGCTTGTGGAGTTCAGTACTACGTGAAGGTGTTCTCGGGGCAGTCGGAAACCGATCACAGCCGAGCCAGGTAAATACATATTTTATGAGCATACAATTTTAATATAGCAACAAATACCTACCTACAAGGCTTGTTTTTGCACAAACTCGCAGAGTATCGCCGAGAAAGCGACGACTACCGACTACGGATAGGAGGTGCCTAATAAAACATCTCCGCACGTCGGTCCATATAGTGGAACTTGTAAAACTTTTGACGAATTTAATTATTAAAGTTTCGCAACTAAACGCGAGTTCCGAGTAGGTCTTAATAACACAGGTGCGATTGTATTTTGCTCGGACGGTTTTCGGATAAAAGAGCACAAACCGTTTCAATGGTCAAAAAACAATTCCAAATTTTGATAGTCCATATTTTGGTCTAACCTTTTATTTTTTATTAATCATGTTTGTTATTTGACAAAATATTTACAATCTATACAATAATTTGCACAATAAGCAAATTGGTTAGCTACAAAGAAAGAAAATCAGACAGTAGGGAATTTCACAGTTGAGACATCTAATAAGATAAAAGAACATTCATTTTAGTTGTTCTTAAGAAAATCTCGTGGCCAGTTTCTTTTAAGTCGCCTTACGGGATTCTCAGGGAGAGTTTTTGATGCGAGCTGGGAGACCAATTATATTTTCGTGTGACTCTAGTCTGGAGTAGAATCGTTGGTAGAAGATTTCTGCAGTTACAGCGATTGTGGCAATCTTGAGGTCGGAGTGAAGTGAAACATTTTAAACATACCAAGGGGCTTTTGTAATTATTCTGAGGCATATAGACTGGAAATGTTTGAATTGTTTTGGTGTTCAAAGTTTTTGCTGATTCCCAAATAATAATACCATAGGTCCATAAAGGCTATTGTAAAAAAGAAGCTCATTAAACACTTGGCATACGCGATATTGTCACATTGACTTGTACACTTAAACTAAAAAAAAAAAAATAAAGTAGACCTACTAATCTGTCATCAATTAACCCCAAACAAATATAACAAACTATTACTATGCTCTAAACTGTGCGCTTCGGTTTATTGCGCAAACCACTCATAAGTCATTATTAGTAAATTGTCTTACATTTTTTTTTAGACAATCTGTGGCCATGCGAATCCGGAAAATCCAATTTGCCCCTATCATGCGGTCGCCGACCAAACATCCCTGTACGATCGTCCGGAAAGACTTCATGTTCAGCCCCGGACAACTGGAACTGGAAGCAGCTCTCGACAAACAAGTACTTAATACTCAAACATGTATAGCATCATAACACTCAAGTAGGATATCGGTCTCAAGTGTGTCGAATCTGTTGGTCATACAAAAAACGTCTGCACCGCTATAGTCTAAGCCAAATCCTTAAATTCTAAATAGTCTGATAGGCCATGATAAATGTTATAAGTCCAAGTAGAACACAGTGTAATGCATATAACCTACGTACAGGTGTACATGCCAGGCGAAACCGTAATGGTCACCGTGTGCATAAACAACAGCAGCAACAAGATGGTGAAAAAAATCAAAGTGATGATGCAACAGATAGTGGATATTGTGATTTTCCAAAACGGACAATGCAGGACCACCATAGCCGCGGCGGAAACCCAGTGAGTATAACTGCACATTAATATAAATTATGTTCAACTTAAGCATATTCTGTTTTAATCGAAATTGATTACCCCTTAAATGCTGCAAAAACGTTCAAAATATCATACAATTGTCTACAGGTTTACATACCTATTATACTTATCGAGGAGTTTGGTGTAGGTCATTTTTTGTCCAAATCTTAATTTAAAAAAAAAACATTACAAATGGTCGCCGCGGTAGTTTGACAAATACATTAACAAATTAAGATTGTTTAATACATTTATACATAAAAAAATCCTCATTCGTATGTGTTTCGATGCCAACATTATCATTTTAAGTAACCAACTATTTTTTTTGTTGTAAAATTATAATTTATACATGCTTTTAAAAACTAGTGGGTGTGGTGTTATTTTAATACCTACCTTTTTACTGAACGTTTAGGATAATATTATTAAAATATGTAGATTACTGTTTTAATTAAATCCCAACGTTTACCATCCGGAACTACTTCTAAACATACAATTAGCCGTTCAACGAGTTTTGGAACGTTACCCGTTTGAACATATACGGATATGAACTTGGAATAATTTTTGTAGGACGTTTTAGTAACCAGTGCTTTACTTATATAGAGAATATTATGTCAACTACTTGAATTTGGGAGCCAATCAGTGTGCATATAGTTTGTCGGCTTAACCTTTGACTTGCTTGCCACCGCAATCAACATTATATAATTACAGGCTAAAAGTTTATTATCCAACTGGGCGTAACTGGGAGTTACATATAAAGTGTCCACTGGGATCACATAAATTGTTTATGGACATTAATATTGAACATTATCACTATCAGCACATATGTGTTATGTGAATCTTAGAGACACGCCTAAATTAATCTAAAATACTTCAAAGAACCCCAACTAGATTTTACAGGACACCCATTTTAGGTTTCTCATTTTTACCACTCACCTGATATTAATGGATATTATTGTAATTATTACAAACGCGCAGTCAATACCGTCGATATACTAGTATGGACACTATTAATTTTATTTAGATTAGTCATTTTTTACCGAGAAGAGAAGTGACCAGTTCATAAAATGTCCAAATTATATTATGTTCTAATAGCATTATATTGGGTAGCATAAAAATGTGTTGGTTTCATAAACCGTATTTGGATCTAACCTGAGCTTTCATTTAAAATGTATAAACTAAAATTATTAATAAAACCAAAATTGTATTTAAAAAAAAAAATCAAAACATAAATACATTTTTACTATCCAAATAATATTTTAAAATATGCACATTATTATTATAAACAAATTATTGAAATACATACATTTTTCAATTTATAACTGAATAATGGTTTTATTAAAATACAAATTGAAATAACAATTAAAGTTGAAAAATTATTTTTAACAAAATTCAAATAATATAATATATATAATTACTTGTAAAAACTATGAACTAAAAAAAAATATATATTTGTTAAGTAATAGTATTCAAAACTTGTTTTTTGGTTGTTTTTTAATTAATTTTTTTTCTGATCTATTGTTAGAATAATGTGTTATGTAAGTATGTATATCGGAATTCTTCGCAACTAAATGAGGAATAAATTTAAAATATTTTAGGGTACTATTAAGGGTATATATTATAATATTTTTCAATGTTTTCGCAAATTTTACATTCCAGGGCCTAAATTAGTTAGATAGTAGTTTTTTTTTGTAAAAAAAAAAAATACTGGTTTATTCCTCTGTTTCTAATGATGATTTTGTATAAAAGCAACATTTTGTTTAAAATTGATATTTACACCTTAAAAAAATTAAAAACTAAAAAAAAAATTTTTTTTTGAAAAATTGATGCTCGCAACCTCTAAAATTAATTTTAAAAATCTGAAAAAATAGGAAAATATTATTTTACCTCAAGGAACATAGAAGAACAAAAAAAAAAAAACAATTTTTTTTTGGTACACCCTAATATATATATATATATATATCTAAATAGTACTACTTAATATATTACACAACATAAATATATTGTAATCACCCGTTTGTCTGGTTTAATAAAATGGCAACACGTATGCTGTGATTGTCATTGACTAAATCCAATGTGGCTCCAAAAATAAAAACTACTAAATTGCAATTTTTTTTAGAGACAATTAGTGTCTTGCGTTAATTCGATCACTCTGTACAGCAAACGGGGGGTGGAAATCGTTTCTCGTGCAGTCCATTTCGTTCGGGTATGCTGTTTGATAGGATTAAAAATAAATAGAAAATCGAATTGCACGGCCACGTAATCCGGCCTTTATCTTGGGGTTGACCGAAGACCACAAAAGAGGGTCGAGCACAAGTCAATCTCATCCCTTCAGTATTAAACGTCCGACACAATGGCCAAATAAATCTATAGCGGTCGCGACGGTGCTGTTAACTTTTTGGCGGCCTATTCGATTTTGACCGAACCCAAAGTATGTAATGCATTAATTTTAATAACTGCTTTAATGGCATTTAAATAGTTTTAAACGTCCGGCTTTAACCGATAGAGGCGAGGGGATGCGGTTTTAAATCAGTATGCCGTGTTAAAATTGAATTGCCAATAACTTAATCCAATTAAGGTGGGTCCGGCCCACGTAGAAGGGTAGACAATATAAATCACAAGCAGTGAAAAATTCGTTTCCAGCACAACCTAACGTAGTATCCAAAGAACAGCTCTGTGTAAGTCTTTACAGAATTTAAATGAATAGTTAAAATGTTGTCAGGCTTTAAAACGGTTTAAAACGTCCAAAAAGCAGACAGCTTTCAATCCCCTCGTGTAAAAAAAAGATCCTAATCTAAAAACACTATTCGAACAATATCGTTATTGTGGTTAGTTTGCCATAGAAGAACATTTTGACACTAAGTTTGATTTGTTTTTAAGTACCATTTGCCCGACTCTGATTACTTTCATTCCCTTCGAGCTATCCACCGAAACCTCCAGTGCGACCTATTGATGTCTGTAGCGATTGGAAATTCCTAAGAACTCGTTCGAATTATCTACTAACCTTGGTCGCAATGAGAAGACAACACTGTGCTCATCACAAGTGCCACGACAGGTGTGATGGTGTGTCAATTTGTAGGTAAATTGCAATTGCCAGGGCCAACGGTATGGTTGCTGTGTATATTACTTCAACGATACGCGATCCCGTTAATGATGAATAATTATGCTGTTAAGTACGTTACAATAATGATAATCCTCAAAGTGCAAAATGCTTATAAATAATCCATTAAGGCTCGAGTGCTCGATTTCACGTGCGGCGCATAAACCAACCGAGGTTGGTTTTGAATACTTTTATTAGAATAGGCTGTTTCTGTAGAATCTGCAACATATCTTTGGTTGACAAAGATACAAGCGTAGACGTTTTAAGAAGAATAGGCAAAGAACCAGAGGTGATGAATAGTATAGAATCTGGGAAGCTGCAATATTTTGGACATATTATGCTGAGAGGTGAAACATATCAGCTCTTACGTCTCATAAGAGGAGCAGGGAAGACCTAGAACGAGCTGGCTGCAAAATCTAACAAGGTGGTTCCAATACAACACTAAGGAGCTATTCAGCACGGCCAAGGACAAAGACCATGATGATTTCCAACATTCGATAGAAGAGGAACACGAATAAGAAGATTAAATTAAGTTAGATCTTTTATATTATTTTGAATAGTTATAATACTGGATGTCACGCCATACAACAGTATGTCCATTTTTTAAATTACCCGTGCATGGCGATCACCGGCTATAGCTTGGTTTTACAGATTTATTACTCCAGTTTAAAAAGTAAATTTGGATTCTCAACTAGTGCGGTGAAAAGTTAAATAAGGTTCCTTTTCAAAATGGTTATTTCCATGTAAATTTATTCAGTCGCCGTTAGTGTACACACGCTACCCTCATCTCACTCTAGAAATACCCTTCTTAACAATTTTTTCTTACTTTTTCCTGACCTTTTCTCGTCGTCGACTTTGCTCATTAAAATCGATACGTTAATATTCAATTTTAATTGAAATTCAGCCGGCATTCGAGTTATTTCAATGGCTTTAGCTGCTCACTCTTATGAATATATTCAGCATTAATCGACCTGGTTTATATTGTAGTGAAGTCACTGTACAGCTGTCGTTTGTTCTGAGGTGTAGAAATTGTTGTAGACAATAATAACTTTGTTGTACTTTGTGAACATAAGATAAGTAATATACAAGTAAATATTTGTCTACAGGCGATATTGTAAGAGAATAGTTTATATGTGTGTGAATGGAAGAGACTGAAAGAGAGAGAGAGAGTGAAAAAGAAACAGTCGATAAAACTAGAACACCTACTATTAGTTAAGTTTACTAGAACTTTATCCGTGTCTTGTGTGTCATGATCTCACTGCCGGCTTAAAAGATAATATACACGGTCGAAATATGATTATTATTTTTCGATTCGGGAAGAAAATTATATTATATATATATAGTAAATATTATTAAAACTTTGACCGAAGGACTAATGGAATTGATTAACAGAGATTCTGTGAACTCCTACAGAGATAGCGTGATGAAAACTTTTCCTTTTGACTTCCTTCGGGACTTCTATCTTTCAAAGCACATAATAAAATGATAAATTCCCAGACGTGCAATCCGGATCCGATTTCGCGTATCTCACACGTTATTTCTATATTTACTGTTACAATATTATGCGCAGACTTAATGATGAGTAAGTTTGTCTCAAATAATGCCTCATAAAATGATTGCTAGAGGTAAGATGAGAAAAATTGTTTGATCAAAAAATACAGCTCTACGTGACATATTTAGGTCATATTAATTTGATAAAACATCTTCGTAGAGACGCATTTTAATAGTATTTATGTCCAACTAAAACAAATTTGTGTTTGTTTGATTTTCCCAAAATCATTTTTTTAGAAATGTAGAAATGAGTGTCTAAATTGAAAATGTTGCTATTTTTCTTATATATATATATATAGCACAACTAAATAAATGATAATGAAATTCTTAATGGAAACTTTACAAGTTCATAACTTGTAACTTACAAGTTGTGAAAACCGAAAGAGTAAAATATGGACGTTTTTAAATTAAAGAAATCACACTACTGTAACGTATATAATTATTAAAAGTTTGAATAGTAATTGAAAATCTGTAAAATTGACTTTTTTTGGTGTTCAAAAGAATTTTTATAATGGAAAGTGCTTTTATCATACTTTTCATTTTAAAGCGACGAGCAAAAACTTAATTATCGTATTTTTTATTTTTTTAATGAAATTACTTTGTTCGCAGCTACTATAATTTCATTTTATCCGGATTCATTAATCACTTGAAAGTTTTTAATGGAGGAAAAGTTACCTAATATTTTTTTCTTTTCAAGTTATTAATCTGCCGAGAAACGTTCATGTTTTCCCAGAATTAAGCTCATAATATATTTGAGTATAAACTTAATAGTTTTTATACTTAGTATACAATGGGAAAGGCTCATTCGACATGTTTTCAAATGCTGTAAAATCATAATAAATAAATATAATCACGGTTATGAGTAATCTCCCAGTGCAATTGATACTTTGTTAAATATACATGAACAGGGATAGACAAAGGGATTCAAATGAACATAGTGGCTCATTGTATTTGAATTACCAGACGTTTATTATGACATAATATTATAAAACTGCTACTTTATTGTAAAACGATTCCAGAGAGGGCTGTCCAATTTTGCCGGGTTCGTCTATACAAAAAACATTAGCCATGCTGCCCACCATAGACAACGTAAGGGGCAAATATGGCGTCGCTCTGGAGGATTCACTCAAGGACAAAGAAGAACCATCGTTGGCCTCGTCGGTGTTGTGAGTACAACAATAACCAATAACAGTGGTCCAATGAGGGTCTGTGCAACCCAGCATAAGTGTTTCATATAATTTTTTTCATGCTCGTTTCCAATAGATAATAATATACACCACAATTATTGCAAAGGGTCTACGCTTGTTGAGCAACACTCCCACTGGGTCCTTTTATATAGCATTGTGCGCGCACTTGGCATCCTTTACACTTCAGAAATCGTTCGCCATACTTCTCTTTGGACTGATATAGTTTTCCAATCATGCCGTTGCCAAGTTTCTTCTGCGAGCCGTGAAAAGTTCCATCGTTGACTTTCGGCTGGCTTCAAGCCAACCGCCATTGCCTGCACCGGTGTTTCCCAATGATTGCCAATGGCAGAACTACTCGACAACATATTATTGGCGTTTTTGTAATTCAATTTTTAGTTTCGACGATTAACGGATAAAACGTTTCTGCTCAATCTAAACCGATATTCCTGTTTTTTCATATCTTATTGTTCGCCAAAGGCCTTGTCTTTCCAAAGACGGATTTTGATCAAGTTAATGACCATAAAACGACCCCATATTATATAAGAAGTCTAAAATTATAAATAATGTGTTCAATAACAGTTTGGGTACTGTATTTTTCTTATTCGTGCCAAAAGTCTTAGCTCTTAACCCGTTCTGTTGTTCAGGATACCGAGCCCGGATATCAAAGACGTGTTCGGAATCATCGTGTCGTACACGGTCAAAGTTAAGTTGTATTTGGGCGCTCTGGGAGGAGATCTAACGGCTGAACTACCGTTCTTGATCATGCATTCCAAGGTAAGTGACTTATTAGTCTGTCAAAAATGTGCAATCTTTTGATTTCTTGACACGAAGAGGGGGAAGAGGAATGCAAGCTGATGGAGGAGTAATATGCAGGGGAGGGGAAAAGAAGAGGATCGGGTAGTTAAACGGGTGAGTGGGTAAAGGCGTTGACTGACACTTTTTGTGAAATAGTTTCTAGTTTGAATAGTAATAAAAATAGTTTGAATGAACGAAAGTGTTAGGATATATTACACAATTTACCGAAAAATTATAACAGTTGAATGTGCGTCGAGCTTAAAAAAGTTCCAAGCGTTTCAACAATATATGACACTATTATATGTTTGATTATTTTGGCTAAAATGTTGCCGCGCTCGTAACCAGTTTTGAAATTATCAGTTAACACCTTTATCCACTCACCCCTTAAGACATAAGTGTGGATAAAATTGGGATGGTATGGTGATAACGAGAAATAAATAATTCCTGCATAAGAGATAAGAGTATCAGCTGATACATACGCGCAACTAGAACTACATTTTAGGGGGTGCTAAAACTATGTATTAATCATAATTCTTATCTCCAATTTTCAATTTTCATTAGATATAATACAAAACATTAGAAAACAAAAACATTTTTAAATAACAAATTTCAACAGAGTATAAGCATTATTAAACATTTTTGCGTACAAATCAAATATTGGGGCTTGAATTTTGGGAGTGCTATTTTGTGTCTGGGGTGCTTAGGCTGCTTAGCACCCCCCTAGTTGCTGATAAGAGATGAATGATAAAATAATCAACTGATAAGGATGATTGATAAGAGACAGACAATCGTCTGACCATAAGAAAAGTTGATAGTCTAATGTCTTTCGTTCAAGGAAAAATATAGATTTTTATTTGCATACCGTAGGAATTGTCTAAGAGATTCGCCGGTAGAGTGTAAGAATGTTTACCCAAACTTAATTTTTTCCTTTTTAACCGGTTATCAATAATGCACTTTTTTGTTTTAGCCAAAGAAAGACTAACCATTTGCCAGTGGAAATGAAAATCTTCTCACTCGACAATCCGACACGACATGATAATTACTACTTACCTTATACACCTACTGCATAGACAACGATTGAGTAGTAGATATAACGGTCGTTATTTATATACTCACATATGGACAATAGTGATAAATAATATTATTCTAATTTGTATCGTTGCGTTTTACTATGTTTATTAACAATGTATACCTATTAATAAATATTAATACATTGTTGTTGATGGCAAAAACATATACCTACCGTGTTATCTGTTGCTCGACTTGCCTGGTTTTGGTTTTTTAATCTACTCGGGTCTTACATTGTATGCTTTGTCCAAAAACTGTAGGCAATAATTTTTTTTATTTTCAAAATATTAAAAAATATATACATGACATTATTATATCAAAGACTCGTGGGGAAGACATTAAATCAACTAGCACCGATGACTAACGAATATCACACTATGGTTCTTACACAAAAAAGCTATCTAAAAAAAATACAAGATACAATTAATTTAAATTAAAAAACTAGTCAAAATAGTTGAGCATTCTGGACATTACTTGTCTGCTGAAGGGTGTAACGGGGTCGGATTTTGTGGTATTGTTGTCATAAGCGTTTTTAAAAAAATCCAAATTCGCAATTGTCCAATGTCCGTTTCTGTTGCATGGGTCTTCCTCCCCAGAGCTTGGGGGAAACATTATTAAACAAAAGATATTTTGTAAATAGGGTACACAGTTTTATTAAAGGCTTATAAAGTTACAAGGTTTTAATAATTTAATAGTTATGCAACAATAAATAATATATTTGAAAAGACAAAACACACAATGATAGAAAATTAAATACAAATAATCTGAATAAATTTTTAGGTAAAAATAATAAACAATAATATGTCTTAGCAACAGATATACTTTTTATGTTATGCAATTTCATAATTTGTCGTTTTTTACACCCAGTTTTATTATCAGCTAATAATAATAACTTTTTTTCGCTATAAAAAATGTACTGTGAATCGTTACCAATTTTCGATTGGCGACCTTGCATGGCTTTTTTTTATAAACCTATTAAATTGACTTGTGCGCTATTCACAAAAGTCTATAATAAATATATTGTCTGAACAACACTGTCGGGAAACAACAAGGAAACACATCACACACGGTCTAGTAAAGGTGCTCTTTTGATTTTAAGAGAAAAATCTTATATTAACACACGGCTGTAAACACAGAAAACCAAACGAGTCACGCCATCTGTAGACGATGATTGACAACAAGTTTTTTGTACTAAAAAATCGAGCATCATCCTAATAGCACAGATCAGACGATAACACATTAAATAAAGAAAATATTCTTTTGTTCATACACAGCGAGTTTATGTGACGTTCTGCACAGAATCAAGTGAAAATTTAAAAGTAAATTTTGGTCAGATTGACAAAGAATGATGCGGCTGTTCATCAAATTTATTTTTATTTAATAAATATAATCTACACATAATATAAGCATTATTTAATTTACATGTATCATATAAATCTCTCTCCTGCACTTAAGTAAATTTTGAACGTGTATTTTCAAAATAAAAAAGGATTGACACATACACATTTGAGTGCCTAGTACAATCGAGAAAGTGTGATTAGAATCTTTAATGTTTGATCAGTGTAGACAGTTGGTTAGGTATCGTTTCAGATATTATTGAAAGAATTTCACAGTATTGAGTACTAGTTAAAATTATCTTGGTTTTTATTAAAGAAAGACAGATCCTATTGGCTAGTCAGTCTCAATTTTTAGCTATCATAAAAATCTTAAATAGTTAAATTTAATAAATTGTAAAATGGGACGACTGAACAAGTTCTTTCATACAAGTTATGTATCGGTAACTAAGATTTAGCGACTGCACACCGTTTCATTGTATCTGTTACAATCCTTTCTTTATGATTAACTCTATGAAAGTGGGTACAAGTCTGTAAGGCTACACGGTATATCAGACATAAGGTAAAAAAAAAAAAATTAAGAAAATTACCAAACAAACCTGATGCATTTGTGTAAGAAATCCAGCCAATTAGCCACTTATTTTAGACAAATTTATTTAGTGTGTTTTTTTTCTTCATATTTTTTGTATGACGCAGCCTTTTTTTCCTTATTTGCTTTGAACTTACTTGCTAAGTTGTTGAATAATTTGGTAAAATATAATAAAAAAATCTATCTACATTTAATCAATGTATTTATCAAGTAAAAAAATAAATTTCAAAAATTCTCAAGAGTTAGTATATTTTATTTTGTTTGCACAACACAAATTTAAAAACTTGTTGACAAATTGGAACTTTGTAAATTATAACTAAAAATTACCAAATATTTCCAATCGAAACAAATACAAACGTTTTACCAAAATTATTGACTTGGCAAGAACAATTTTTAAAAGAATCACACTTATTGATGGTTGGTTGGTTATAAAAAATTAGATAAAAAAGTTTTGTAAGATATATTGCCAAGTTCAAGATAAATATATTAAAAAGTTGAATTAATTTATTTTTCTAATTATTATCATTATTTATTTATCTAAAAACACAATATAACATAATATTATATTAAACCATTCAATCGCATTAACCAACTTAGTTCAATCAGTTTTTTAACCATATAGTAATAAAATGCCCATATGTATTTAAATTTAACATCCGGTTAAGTTAAGTTTCATCATAACAATAATATTATTATTAAATTCTATTAGTTGAGTTAACGAAATGTTAGTTGGGTTACCAAAGCGGTTAGATATTAATAAACACGGTAACCTCGATTCCAACGTTCTCATTGGCTATCAAGAAATGTGGTAACTGATAAGTGATAATGTTATAATTTTATAATCAAATCTCAATTAGTAATGTATAATTTGATCTATACTGGCACTTACAATGGCATCACAATTAACTTTTTAACAAGCCGATTTCGGCTGATTAACTTAACAACCGTTATAACAACGTGTTAAGGCTAACAAATCTCGACAAAACCCAAATGTTCACTAATTGTTAAGTATAATTAACTATAAGTTAAGTCCTTGACACATGTTGGTGAAATCGGCCCACAATGTTTTGTAAAATATTTTCATAACGCTGAATTACTTGGTTTCGGCGTTTTCCATCATCTTCCAGACTTCGGCATGCCGCGTAGCAACGTATTTGCTTTTAGGTACTTGTATGTAGTTGGATCAAACGATGATATAAGTACGACTTAAGACGTCTAACGTGGATTCGCAACATTGACAATAGCTTTGTTCCAGTCACGATTATAAAGAAATTTTTTTAACCGTGGTTCCAGCATTAGTGTTGTAAACAAGTTTAATTGATACCAACATATTCTGAACGCGCATGCGCCTATAATAACAGGTTTGCAGTTACAATGCGCTGGAACAGTTTTCGGCGATTGTGGTCGTAACCATTAACCATGAGATGGGTTACCATATTAACCTAGGTTTTTGCTTTTGCACTGAAGTTAACACTTAACATAAAAAAAAAACTATTGCAATATATTCTAATAATTTATCGCCATTCGCCTACTATGTTTGATTAATTATTGTATTAAAAAAAAATTCATACATCAGTAAATTAGTGTACACGTGTTTTATACTTATTTTAGGGTAACTAAAATAACTGATATTTTATAGAGGTGTATAACAGCAAAGTAAGCTGTGTAACCAATATGTTGATAATTATGAAATATATTGCTTGGTCGATTTCAAAGGTCTTGTTAAAAAAATCATAATAATATGTCTCTATATATTATGAAGGAGGAGAGTCAAGGCGAATAATATGTCACAATATCTTATAATTTCTTCAACAGTAGTATTGTAAGAGCCCCCTCCCCCCTTCTTAACTGGGAAAGGCCTGGGAGGGGAGATAAAATATCAACTAATTACTGATAATCAAAAAAACGTGTAACTGTTATCAGTGCAAATTCACTTACCATTTTTGACTTGATGGATAAATATAGTCACGGTAGTATCCCACAAAAGCTAATTTTTTTATAGGTATGATGAAATTTTACAAGGGAAATTCAACAATAAGAATTAAAAAAACAATTTTAATCAAAATCAATTTATACTTACCTCGAATTCTCGTCCTATCTGTAATAATTATAGATTTAGACGTACATAGATGTAGTAATAATTATTTGTGTAAGCTTAACATTTTATCGGCTTAGATTACCTTAAAACAATTTTTAAAAAAACACTAGTCCCAAAAAATTCCCAAAATATATTTTTCTTTGTACTTTGGTTTTGAGATTTAATAAAGTAGACAACTTTCTGGAATATAGTACCTATCAAATATAAGTCTTCTAAAACAAAAAATACTAAAAAAATGTAAGTATACAAATATTACTCAACACAAATATATTATTAACAACCGTAGCTGTAATCTTTATACACATTTGGCCGAACAGATTTTACACAGGTCCAATATGCACAAAGGTCAAATTACAACAATAGAATTTAATACTAACGCCATTGTCTTTTTGTGCACTGTACACCGTTCGATTATTATTAATTCAAGTGTGAAGGCATTTATAAATTCCAACGGTCAAATAAATATTTTACCCGAACCGGATATTCGAAAAATAAACATATTTTGTATAGATTTGATGATTAACCATTTAATTTCAAATGTTCATTCTTAAATTATTTATATATATTTACCTAATAATACTTTTGTAACTTTTAAAGTTAGATAAGCACCAAAAATATGTGTAAATCAAATGCTAAACAGTAAACTCATAAGATCTCAATTTATCTACAAAGTTAAATGATAAATTGTCAATAAATAAAAAAAAAAAAAGGAAAGGTTGAAACTTCACAGGCAATTTAGAAAAACTTGAGTAAAACACTTGGTGGTTATAATATATATATAATATTATCAACAGTTAAGAATAGTGCTAAAGTATTTTTCAAAAATCTTAACCACAAAAAATAATACACAATTTTTATCGGTTAAGATTTTCTAAAATATTTTAGTATTTTATACCCAACTCACAGAAAATATTTGCATTAAATAGAATTCCGTTTAATAAATTAAAAAAAAAAATAGCAAAATATAGCTGTTTCAGGTTAGCATAAATGTCGGCTTTATGATTTCTAGTTTACAAAAGTCAAACACGAAAATGTACAAATAATCAAATTACATTCTAAAGGAGATATTGTTCAACTGGTAAACGTTCCATAAGAAAATTTATATTTAAATATAGAATAGTCAAGTACACAAGGGTCATGTACTTGTTGTGTACTAAAATTTGGTCTACACAAAATTTAGATATCATACATATTTTTAAAAAGATAATTAATTATGAAATAAAAAAAGAATTACTATTATAATACAGACAGAAGTAATAAAAAAACAGTGCAATTCTAATAAAATTGCAGAAAATAATTAACCAGCTACATTTTTTAACCGTTTACAAACTGAACATTATTTCATTTGAACGTGGTTTGTATATTTTGTACATAATAAATGCCTCCTTTAAAAACAGACACAAACGGCATTATATCTAATAGTTATTTAATTAGTTCTCTTTGAAATACTTTTTAGGGGTGTTTAAGTATTAAAAAAAAAGCTATCTGTATTTCTGTTTTAAATTATAATTTTCAAACACAGATTTTTTTCAAATGTTTTATATGAAGTGTGTAAAAAGTATTGTAATAAAATTTCAAATTCAATACAAAAACAAAAGAATGTAATATTGTTGTGTAGCCGTACCATTTATAACGTATTTACGACTATTCGTAACAACAACTCAAAACACTCTTTATTTTTTAAAAACAAATGTTGTGGTCGAGTAATCTTTCCAAATTATTTTTTCAATATATATATAAAAAAAAGGATTAGGTATGCAAGACAAAGGAAATGGTTTAGTAAACGCAGTTAAAATAATTAATTATTGTACTAATATTATATTATGTATTATTATCTTATACATATCGGTCAGAATATACTTTGACAGAAAACAATACTTATCCGTTACTTGCTGGGTTTTACTTTGCACAATAGGTTGTCGTAAGTATACAAAAAAATTCTTAAAATATTCTGATATTAGGTCATGGTGTGTAATTCTATAAATATACATATATGTATATACTCTATAAATATATATACACATATAAAGAGAAGTACAATTTTTTTTTATAATTTAGTTCACAAAAAAAAAAAATTTGTTCATTAAACAAATACTTATATAAAAATTATAAAGAAAACGTTATACAATTGTTTACTTACAGCTAACGAATTAAACGCGTACAAAAAAATGTTAATCCTAAAGTTAATTTTATCGATCCTTTTACAAAAAAAAAACAACATCTGTACGGGTCAAGAATACGTCGGGTCGATATTCGAATACACAAACTGTACACTTTTTTTTTATTAAATAATTATATTATAAACATAGGACGAACGAGAACGATACTTGGGCGTTTTTCGTTCTCGACAAATGTGTATACGCACATAATATATGGAAAGACGATGAAAAATAACAAAAAAAAAATGTTATGATAATAATGAAACCTACAAATGATAATGTTACGTTGTCGGAGAGGGTGGGGTAACATAATAATATTAAAAATGTTGACGTTAACCAAGGTGGAAAAAAATAACTCCGACGTTTCTTCAACGCGGTAAGACGGTTCTTTAATTCTCCTACAAGACGTCAGAAATTGACGCAATCGTTTTTTACAGCGAGTCAGTGTCGGATCGTCAAGAAAACACTACTTTTGACAGCATTCGTACAATTATTATGAGATCTGCGACGTAGCAACTAATATACTGGACTACGTTTGTACAGAGTAAGTATAGCTATTGTATTGCGTAAAATTATACCTTAGACGACGTTACTACTAACAGAGGTGATGTACATTGGTTTGCGTATATTATAAATTATAACAAAATGTGGTTATTAAATTATATTATTTAAAGCCATTTACATACAACACGAGTGTGTTTTAAAAATTATGACTAGTAATTAATAGTTTATTTTTTTTTTCGTTATAAAGTTACGTTTAATAATATTATAGAATAATAGTGATAATAATAATAATAATAATAGCCGAACAACTGCTACAAAGATTATTACTTTAGGTTTACATTAGTTTAAAAATCAAATGAGAATAATATAATTAGAAATATGTTATCGTAGAAAAAAAAAAACCTCAAAACCCGTTTTAATATTTTGATAAATATTATATTACTATTATTTTTTTACAAAGCTAATGAACGAAACATATTATGATATAATATTTAAACTCGAGTAGAACGCGACGACACCTGATGTAGCTGTCAATTATTTAACACAAAATTATTTACAAAAAAAAAATATATATATATAATACACAGTACACCACGATATAACCGTGAGATAATAATATTCGTATTTTGATCCTTACAAAAGTATTTAATTTTACAAAAGTCAAAGTAAAAAAAAAAAAAAAATATATAAATATATATATATCAATACAAATCCGTTTTATCACATTTTCACAGCAGATTATGAATAGAAATAAGAGCAAGGCAACAAGTTGTTTGAGGATAATTTATTTAGAAAAAAAAAAAAAATGATTGTAATAAATTAAAATACGGGTTTTTCTATCGGATGTGTTTAGTTTGCTCATCGACACACGTACAAACGTCGTAAGATGACTAAAAGAAATACTTAGAGAGTTATAGTTAATGACAGGACCAATAAGAATAAATTGTACACGACACGACCAATGAAAGAAAACACAAATGATATATTGTCGACAACGACACGCTACGTCGCAAAGAAGTTAATAATTACAAAATATATAATCGATAAAGACGAAAGAAAAGAAAGGCCTTTTATTCTCGACTATAACATTTACCTACATGACTAGTCTATTAAATGATACTAAGGAAAAAAAAAACTGGATAATTAATACATCTTAACATGACAATATTCATATTAATACCTGGATTTTTTTGTTTTTTTTTATCTTAATAATAAGCGTTGCTCGATTGAAAATTGATTGTTTTCCAAATATTGCTCCGCATCACCACAATATTATATCAGTCGTTAGTTCTTCTGACGTTCAAAAACAAATCAAAAAAGACAAAAACGACAATTAAAATAAAATTTTAGTTATTTTGGTTATTTTGTTAAACACAATAACATGGCTTGATCGTTAACAGAACTCGAGGAGATCAAAATATCAAAAGCAAGTGCAAGTTTATTTAGTTCTAAGCAAATTCTTTAAGTAAAACATTTTTTAAATTGTTTATTCGATCGTTGATTTCTAACAGTCCAATGTTATGAAGCCGGCTTAATTTAAAAAAAAGGTTGCAAGTACATTTACCACCTTAACGGATTAACTGAACAAGTGTAAAGGAAAATGTCTATTTATATTTTAAGCGAGCAATTCAGCTTCTTACGTAGATCGTTTCTTCCTGACAATATCAGAAATTTAACGTTCTCTGACGCGTGTAAGCTATCGAAATAAATGAAAACAATAATAAAACGAAATATCATATTACATTTTAAGACGAAGTTGCCGCTCGAGGAAGCGGCCTCACCAAAAACAATTTTTCTCCTTGCTTGTTGGTATAAATCGGAGCCCTCTGATAGTGGTCGACGAGTTGATCTAAGGTATGGAATTTACGTTGGCCGATACAGTACAGTGCGCCTTCGACGTGAACTCTGAAATGCTTGTTTCGGCCGGGCGCTTTCAACGACACGGAATAGTCTCCGACCTATTGTTAATCGATAGTAAAAATTAATAAAAAAATATATTACAATAAAAAACATAATGGAAACAAGCTGCCCGAAAAACATTACGTTAGTTTCGCTGTCTCGGACCAAGAAATCTCCATCCTGGCCGCCGTTGTTCATTATCGTATCGCACTGGGACCGCGTTATCGTGCCGTAATACCACGGTTTTCCGACCAAGTGAGGTTTGTCCATGGCTTTGGCACCACAGGCAGGAACAGCGGCTACTTGACTCAACGGCTGAGCTAGGTACTCGCTGAGTTCCTAAGTGTGAAACATTTTTTTTAGTGATGTCGATATGTCGATCAAACGACAATTGTCAAAAGCTAAAAGTCATTACTTGCAAATAGTTTTTTGGTACTAAACCGACTTGGCCTTGTCCGTTTCTGGCTCGGTACCATTCGGGATCAGCAGCGGGTCTCTCGAGTATTTCCAGACGGTCGCCTTTTTCAAAACTCAGTTCTTGATCGGTCGTGCCGGTGAATGGGTACAATGCGACCACAATGTCTAACACGTTCTCGGCCATGGCGTACGTATGAAGTCCCTGATCGTCGGCATTGTTGTCTTCCTCTTGGGTGGTGTAATTGCTCGGAAACCATCCCGCCATACATCCGCTTTGACCTCTCCACCAGCTAAATAACATAAGGCATATTTATATAATAATAATAATACAAATTAAAAAAAAAAAATTAAACGCTTACCCGTCGTTGCTCTTTTCGAGTATCAATATTCGCGTTCCTTTGATTAGAGACAATTCGTCAGGTTGCTGAGCTTGGTAATTGTACTTGACCAAAGCGGTGCCGATAGCTTCGGAAGGATCAGCTGGAAGACGTCTCGCCATCGTTGGAGATTCGCTAATGGTACGCCCGTTGTTGTGGTAGGAATTGGGCGGTAACGTTTTGCTACCGTTGCTCGAATTGCTACCGCTCTTTTTTACTTTCTTTTTTATACTGAAAATTATAAATTGTAAATTGTAAATAAATGTGATTTTTGATTGCATGATAATATTGAAAATATTTACTACATAATAATCGAATATTTAAGTACCATTTTGTAAACATCAATATGTTTAAAGACATTGAATTTCAGGGGGAAGTAATGAAAACACTTACATTTTTTTTTGCCATAATATGGTTTTTAAAAAAATTAGTTAAATGACTTAATTTTTTAAGTTAAATTTAATTTTTCAATTGACTTTTTTTTTCTTATAAAATAACCAATCCGCTAACAAGTAAATTAATACTTAGAATGTGATATTTTTTTACATACGAAACTGGTCATTTGTTTTTAAAAATCAATAATGTTTATATTTTTACATTTTTTATAAATACTTTTTTTTTTTTGCATTTTTAGCAATTGTATAGCATATTGAGAGGTTTTTGACTGCATATATATGCAGTCAATAATATGTATTGCATATTTCAGTATACATTAATACCAACTTACATTTGATCGTACCTGAGGAGATTAATTTAAAGCCATTTTTTTTGTTTCGTTGTTTAAAAAAAAAAAAATATTCTATTACTACGATGACACTTTTATTGTAGGTATTTCATCGAAGATGATAAGTATAATTAATTAGGCACAAAAACATATGAAAAATCACAGTTGAGATTGCTAAAATTTATTTTTAGTATTAATTTTTCAAAAAAAAATTGACTGTTTGACTAAAAAACTGTCACATAGACTTTACCTGTCGAACAATGAAGGTTTTTCTTTTTTTACGTAGTTACTCGGCACATATCCAGAAAACCCACGAGCGTTCTGCACTCTCCACCAATGTTTTGAATCGTCCAAAAGTAAGTAGCGCTCATTCTTCCTCAATTCTAGTTCTTGAGCGCTTTGAGCAACATAATCATACTTGGCTACTACATAACAGTTATCTTCTTGATTCGACTTGTTACCTACAAATCAACGTTAAGTAGAAAGAAACACTTAAAATGTAATAACTATAATATTATGTTACGTACACATATTATTATAAATCAAAGGAATATAATTGACAAATTATATATTTTTTTCCATCTAGCAGCAAATAGTGACAATTTACTGAAAATGACTAAAAATTAATGACTAGGCTCGATTTGAAAATATATTCTAGTCATTAATCGCTTGTCTTTTCGTTTTTAAAACCAAATTTCAATACGATTTGAGTAATAATCAACACGCTTCTTAATTGTAGTTACCTGGTCTCATGGCTGACATATGATGATGATGAGGTGTGTGAGGAGGAGGACGTATGCCGTTTGCGGGTTTTCCCTGCCACGTGGCCGACTCTCGATCAGCGGCTATTGATCTGGCTTCCAACATGGCTGAAGTGAAATATTCAAACTCAAAACGTTTTTACTTTTGAAGCAATTTTTTTTTTGTCGCCGTTCTTCAAAATTTCATAATCATAATCTAGGGAAAAATCAAATTGTAAAATCAATGGTTTATTTTAATTTATACAAATAAAATGAAGGGGAAATTTTTTATTAAACGTAGTCGTCTATTTTGAATAATTAATATTTCATTAATAACAAAGTTAAATTAAATATAAGCTACAGTTTGTGATGACATTTTTTAATCCTTTTTTAACAATGACAAAAATATATTACGATCCATTGACCGTGCTTAGTTATTTGTTCCAATCAACTGCACAATTGTGGCGTGACGTAATTATGCTACATTCCACGACCGTTCCAAATTAACATCCGCCAATATTTTAATCAATCAACCATTTTTAGAACACAAACCAGACTTATCATTTAACGACGTTAAATGGTTTCACCTTAACATACTTAACGCAAATTTAAATAAATTTTCAGTCAATGAAAATTACATTGAAGAATGAAAATTTAATATACAATCAAATCAACATCCAAATAAATGTTTTATACCATTTTTACAACATTATTATTTATATATTTATTTAATATTAATAAATAGTTTATGTGTTTGTTTTAGCTCATTTTTTCAGATTGTTAAATAGTTGAAATTGAAGTTTTTTTTTTTTTTAACAATATTATACTAGTTTATTTTTACTGTTTACAAATGATGGTAGTAATAATAATATATAACTTATTATTAACCAACAGAAATTATAGATCTTTTTTAATCGTTGATACTGAAATTTTGTTTTCCTTGTTGGTTGTTTTTATAAGAAATATTAATACAGCGATATGTTAGAAATACGACAGAGACCAAATTAAGTGTGTTATATTTTTAGATATTTGTTCAAGATCGTTTCGAATGTTGTTGAATAAGATTTCTTTTATAATTATTTGTTTTCGACACCATACAGATCGCTATCTCTATATCAAGGTCAAACAATTTTATGAAATAAGCAGAAAAAAACAGTATTATCTTACCGAAGTTACATTCAACAGTGTAGTGTTGCCTAAAAAAAATGTATTGTACATAATATGTATTTTTTTAAAAATAATTTTTATAAATCGATTTAAACATTTTAATAATAGCATATCAAGGTAATGGAAAAACATAATATTTTCTATCTAGATCAGGTAGGTTAAGTTAGATAACTATACGGATTATCAGTTTGTAATCATTCTTTTTATAAGTCTTGTTTGATTTTAATACTAGTCAATTCATCGTCATAACGGTTCATATATATACACATAATACTATTATCACAGTATTGTTTTTTTTTTTAATCACGCATATCATTGATAATAATTTAATAATAATATTATAAAACACATGAAGTCTTTACATAAAACAGATTACCCATTCACAACAATATTGTAGACAACATCAAAGAATTATTATTACGATAAATAAAATACACTCAAGTAATCAAAAACCATTTACGTGACTTGTTTAAGACTTTTTTTAAGAATAAAGTGCCATCAACAAGGTATTAAAATTAAAAAATAAATAAGTATCAACTTATTAAGACTAGAAGTGTTTTATTACTATTAATTATGATCAAGATAATAATATACTGAAAAGTATGCAATTATTTAACAAATATTTTGTTTGAATAATAATGATAATATGAACTATGAAGAGAATAGAGATGTAATAGAAAATATAAACTTGTTTAAATATAAAATAATTATTTTCTCCTATTTTTACTTTCTTTCTCAAAAGTTGCAGATAAAATTCAACAGTGAAATCATTCAGTTTTGGTTAATAAAAAATAGAAGCCAAAACATATTTTATTATGTAATGTTTTTACAGTAAGCTAACGTTAAACCCGGAAAAATAATATCGTTAAGGCTAAGAGCAAGTATACCCACATTGATTTGTTTACTTAGTGAACAACGTAGCGTGACGGCAATGACGACAACTCTTGCAATGCATATTAAATAAAAAAATTGTCATATAAAGCCAAGGCTTGTGTTTGACAGCCTAACACAGACCTTACGATGTCTTTGACGTCGTCGCAGCCCTACACGCTACGGTCGTAATCTAAACAGGGTAGGTCTTGCGACGTCGTCGTACCTTTCCGGAAGGACCGCAAAAGCTACGACGGGCACGATCGATCGAGCGGCGGTAATGTAATGTTGTCGTTTCTCTTACCGGCTGATGTACGTTAGCACTTGGACTTCATGGTCGGAGTCCTGCGGGATGTTTTTTATTTTTTTTTTGTGAACTTTTTCACTGTGAAGTTTCTCGTTTCCAATTATTGTTGACCTCAAGTGGTATCGCCAAACACCTCGTCGACGCGTTTGGTCTAACGCATATTAGTTATTACTATCGGAACACGCGACGGCCGTGAAAAACCACAAAAATGCGATTACACGTCGCAAAACAATATCGTTATATGGACAAGCAAAACAAAACAAAACTCGCGAGCGTTCGCACCGAACTAACCCGACAGTGTGTGTGTGTGTTTATGTGTGTACGCGCAAATCGAATCGAGTTATGAGTAATCAACGCATAATATTATTATTGTGTATGTGCGGACCACCGAACAACAATCGGCGGAGTCAGTGGCCAAAACACGCCCAGCCTAGCGGAGAAGCGTCTGGCGAAACGGCGGCGGCAATGTCCGTGCAATGTCGATTGTCGATTATAGGTACGGCGGCCGCTTTCTCGCTTTCTCGTCGCGTCTCACTCTTGCCAACGTCTCGCTTGCCGCGGCTGTCTCCCTCTCTCGCGTCCTCACCGTGTGTGTCACTCGCGACAGTGCCGCCATCCGACGGCCGGCCGCCGTACCGCGTCAGCCGCGGGGCGCGACGCCACGGCTCGTTATCATCACAAAGTGACGTGATCGCGACGTCCCGTAATTTGCTAATCGGTAATTACCATGTGTTATAATAATTCATTAACGGGCAATCGATTGACACGTTAAATGCCGTTTGGGGGTAATATGTGCTGGAAAAAAAAAAACGTTTTTTTAAACTTCGATTTAAGTGTTTTTTTATTCCCACGATATCTCTTAAACCGATTTCTTCGTGTAACAAGTCAATTCAGATCAGTGCCTACCCCAAAAGTACTTCTTTATAAAGCGAAAAATTGAAAAAATGTGCACCCCCCTCCTGCCCGCCATAAAAATGGAGAAAAGCGCTACTTTTTTCCTATTTCGCTTTTGTAGTTTTAAGATTGGTTTGGAAACGATAAGACTAAAAAAAAGTCCCAATACAGTCTGCTTGGGTACAATTTTTTCGAAAATCTGTAGTCCTACGTTTTTGTTTTGTTTGGGAAAAACTAAAATCTCAATTGATAACAAGTTTTTATAGAATTTAATATTGTTACCTGTTGTTTTATAAAGATGTTTGTTGGTAATTTCAATTTTTTTTTCATATATACAAGGACCAATAGTAGTCAATTTAACGTTTCTTTTACGTTTCTCGTTTGAATAATAGTAATTTTGCTAACCTAAGTAAACTTGGCTAATAATCATTGTTATTGAAGCCTTTCATAAATAAAAAAAATACTAATTTTAATGCACTTTTAGTTTTCAACTGACCAATCATTCAGCTTAAAATGTTCAGTAGATATTATCTCAACTCAGAATTTCTATGAAGCTACTTTGCTAACTTCGTCTATAGGTGCTGATTTAGTCTGGGCTGGTTCGGAGTGTGCTTGGTTTTTGTATTATTATTTTGATAATATAAGTATAAATATATTTATATAGGTACATTTGTTTTATGCTTTATTAGCCTTTAATGAATACGAAATATATACATTTTTAATGTATAATAATTTATAATTATTATGCAGGTATTTTTTATAAATAGTTTTATTTATTGAGGAAATCCAATAACAAAATATGGAAATAATCTGTTTTTACTTAAGAGGTTTTAATGAAAAATACTAGGAAAATTTAAAAACCAGACAAAACATCACATGTGAGAATGCAAATTCTAAAGTCTAAATCAAAAAGAAAGATTAAAATAATCTAAATCTGGTTGGTAACAGTATCTAAATTGTAGTGCATAATACAAGCACACCCACAGAGAAGACAAAATCAGTTGGCCTAAAAATAAACCAAGAAAAAACTAAACCGATGGAGCTGCAAGTGATAGGTCCATAGGTGATAGGTTTAAAATAGAGAAATACACGCCCTAAAAATTCCAAAACCGAGGAATGATGAGTTGGACATTTTTCCGATAATTTTTAACATTATATTTCTTAAGTTAATATATTATAAAGTATAAACTATATAATGAATATTGTAATTTATAACAGGGTGTAATCAACTCGTTTTGCCTCCAATATTTAATAATTGCCTGCATCTCCTAAATTCTAACAATTAATTTTAATTACCATACTTATTAATAAAACATCTTTCTAATCACGAACCAAGGCGAAGAAAATATAAAATAAATTGATTAGGTAAACATTTTTAATAAACAAAAATTTTATAAAAAATTGAATTGAAAATTGAACACTGTTAGGTAAATGCCAAGGCGTTTTTATAACCGCGAATTTATAACCGTAGTTACCATAATTTTGTTAAAAAGTGAAAACGAACAACGATTCTAATTTTCTTTTTAGTTTCAAATAACTAGTCATTTAATTTTCCAATCGTTTGTATAAATTGTAGCCTGACAATATATATTTTATGATTCATTCCGGAAATGAAAAGGTAATGTACCTATTTAAACTGGTTATATATTATTATTATTATTATATTATTCAAACACTATGTTATCGTCGTGGTTGATTTTCTTCGCCGCCTTTTTCCCCTATCGGAAATTGTTTCCATCTTATGTACGTTATTTTATTATAATTTTATACTAATAAGTTGGCTTCTTCGCTATTGACAAATTAAATTATGGTAGGTATTATTTGAAATCATATCGTTTCCTGTTTTTCTCTCCGACATTTTAAACGCGCTTTTACTATAATAACGGCAGAATTAATAGAGAACCTTCGAATTTAGCCATAACACCTAGGTATAACACAATATCTAAAATGGGATTTAATAAATAGAATTATAATATTCCTATATATTTATACAATTGTATTTTGTATTTATACCTTACAAGTATACTTATTTATACTTGTGTAATTATGATAAGTAGGAGAATAGGCACTTGCTTGTAGTTTGGTTTTTATAATATTTTATTTTCTTTACTAAAAGTATTATTTTACCGACTAAATAGTCAAACATTAGCCAAAATATTAAAATTTTGCTGGTCGATTTTAGTGTGTAGGTTTTTTTTTTATAATCCAAAACAAATACATTAAAGTTTTTGCAAGAGTTTTATGAACTTCTTACATTTCAACACAATCGCCATTGTCATGTTTTATTATCTATTTTATATATTATCATATTAGTGATGAAAACGCGTAAAGGACGTTTTTGAATGTAGAGAGAACAAAACAAAATTGTATACAAAAATTGCAATCGCTTATTATTTTATTTTATCCAAAATAACTTCAAAATTTTAATTATAACAAAATATATTGAATATTAGATATGTGTTTTTTAATATAAATATTTCTCTAATTTTGAAATACGTCATGGAACGTGTTAGGAGTCAAAATCGAATTGTTGTACCTACATAGTATTTTAACTCAAGGGCAAATTATGATCTATCATTACTTAGCTTAAAATTGAAATTTAAATATTAATAATAAATACTTGCGTATAAATTATAAAAGGACCCCGACAAATTTTAAATGTTTGAAGTTTAAACTTTGAAACCATAAAATCGAATAAAATTACATCGGTATAAAATTATATTAAAATAATCCCAAAACATGTTGAAACCTTAAATCCAATCAGTTTTTAACCCAAAAACACATCTAAAAAAAAATAAAAAATATAGTTTTGTCTGACTGATTTTAGATATAAATAACCGCACTTCCTAATCTGTTATTTATAAACTAGTTTATAAATAATTAGTAGGCATAGTCCATAATATAGAGACCATGCTGTTTTAATGAATGTAAAAACTTGACTGGATTTATTTTATAGTAAAAGTTATCTTAAAATTATTCTTATTATGATTTCTTATTAGCTTATATCTCGTCTAAGTCGAATATTTTAATTAGATATCTAAATTACCTTGTAGGTATCTTTTCCTTAATGACTATTTAATTATGCACGGCTAATTTTGTTCCTAACTCAATTGAATTTACCAAAACAATAATCCAACCGGACAGCAATTTTGAGTTTATGAAAATGTATCATCATTCGCCATAATATTCGTTTGAATCCAAAACCATATCTGTTAAGCGATTTCTGATTAGTCTTTAGATTTTCGCTATCAACCCGCGCGTGACCGCTAAACTCAATTATAATTTCGATTCACTGTTTCCTGCTAGGTTTACACATTTTTACATAGCCTATTATACTCAGCAGACATAAAGAAACTGCATAAGTAGGTACCTAGCAGCGACGGAGAAACTCAACAGCTGTTAGGTATATCTACTTTTTAGAAGGCAACACAGTGCGGTAATAATATACTATTGTTTTGTTCGATACTACATATCAAAATAAAAAAAACACCTTATAGCTAAATTTGTCCATAGACACAAAATGTATAATGCGTTTTTGAGTTTATTTGGAGTTGCTTGGCCTATTTAACTATTGATAACTATGTTATAAAGTATATTTTAATGTCAACGCTTGAACTTATACGCAGGCGCTGATTTGTAAAATTCCAAAGGGCGAATGACCTTAATTTTTTTATACCTCAAAGGCCATACAAATACATACCTAATATAAGAAACCTATCAACAGAAATGATTACAGTATGATAATAGTTTATACATTTTTGTTTGACATAAGGCTGATTAGGTTATAGGACTTGATATTATAAGATTAATTTTATTTATCATAAATAATTTCAAAATAATCAAAAGGGGAATTGTTCCTCCCTTGCTTTGTTTACCCGCTAAAAGTATGCCCATGTAATATAATAATTATTCTAATGTTTATATTATATATTCTACGTATTTTTCGAAAACGCTTAAAACCGCAAAGCTTACATTTATGTTATTATCTACATTATAACCGTGGCACGTGCACGAATGAAAGCATATAATTATTATTTTCGCTTAGCGCGGTTACGTAGGCCAGCTAAATTCACGACTTAGAAGAAATCGGTTTTTAAGTCGGACAATCATAAATATTACATTAAAAATTGTGTTTGGTTTGTGAAGAAACATACAAAAAAAAAAAACCGACGACGTTGGTTTAATAACTAGACGTCACGACCCGCGTTCAACACTAGCACTTAGCACATTGTGTACATTACAGCACATCAACCTAACACAGACCTAAATACTTATATAATATGCATATTATATCTGTCTGCCGAAATCCGAATGGTACATACCGCATGTTTTTAATAGCAAAAATCATATACCTACTTAACGAGGCACATTTGAAAACGTAAACGATAACAGCTTATAATTGCAAAACATCAAAGCGACAATTGATATTGCTCATCTTTCAGATGTACATAATTACTGTGTGTGAATCAATTGAAAAATACCTTACTTTTGTTATAGGTAACCCCGAAACATGGCAGTCTGTCAAACCGATATAGTCAGTCAACAGGCAATAGTCATTTTTTGTTTAACATCATATTAAATA